TTCTGGCTCGGCCGCTTTCGGATCTGAACTGGCTTCTGGAACCTTGCCTAACTGCTCGGATCGAACGGGGTCGAACTGTTTCTCCAATGCTTCATCCGGCCGATTTTCTTTTGTTTCACCTTTTGGTTGTCCGAACAAGCAAAGCATGATATGACTGGGCATTGCTGCTCTGCGTTGTTGTCTCAATGTCAATCTGTTCCATTGTTCTTCACCTAGGTCAATTAATTTCGTCTTTCTGCATTGACAGATTGTTTTCCTCATTTCATTGGATGTTTCGCCAATCAGGTACTTATCCATCCCTTTTCCTGCTATTACTTGTCTTAGGTGAAAGCTACAATGCTCGGCTAGCACATCTGCAGGCCAGTCTTGATTGGAGAGTTCAACTGATCCGGACTTCGGCAATCGGTTTTGTAGCCATGCAAAAATCTCTTCCCAAGGTGAACCGGTGAGCTCGGTTGGCTCGGTTTCCTCGGGTCCAACTTTGCGCTTGGCTTCTCGTGGTGGCTCAATTCGTGCGCGTTTTGCAGGATGATCACTCTCACTTGCTTCAACTGGGTAGATATCTTCGGCTTTGTTCCCTTCTTCAACCATTGGAATTTTCGATTTCTCATTTTCCTGCAAAATGCTCTTGGCTGCGGCTTTTGCAAAGACCTTCGGATAAAATGCTGCGAATCTAGACAGTGCAATCCTTTCTCCAAGATACCGGCATGATCCTGCTATCTGTGCATGCAAATGCTCACTTTTACAAAATCTACCATCTAGACTTCTTACAATGCTTTCTGATGTTGTTTGCAATCGAGTGTACTTCTTCATTGGTCTTTGATCCTCTGGATGAACTAGACCAAACCTGCACTGATCTAGATGTACGGTCTTGGTTAAACGGTGGATTGGCTCTATCTCTACTTGTTTCCAAAGGTCTGATGTTCCTGGATTCTCCAATGTGAAATGCCTGCCGTTTTGCACTTGAATCTTGCATATGAGTGCACACAAATTCATGTGGATCTTAGATAGTTCTCGGCTTTGTTGAATTCGATCGTACTGAATAGTACTTCGGCTGGCATTAAATCGGTTCCAGGCACACCATGGATGGCACTCGGGTGCTACCCATATTTGCTTTGGTCGCAGTCGAAAGATCATCTCGAGCAATTGCACCTGTCCCTGGAATGTCGACAAATCACCATGTTCTCTGGTGAATCTTTCAGCCCTCCCCCCTTGACGTGTCACCTCTTCTGCTAATCTACTCGTCGGTTGTGCATAGACCTCTAACAAGTCAATTTTCTTTCCATAGGACTCTTGCTTGCTTGCTTTTAGTAGTTTAGCTCCGAACTCATTCTCAACAGTTATTCGACTGTCCGTCAGGAGGGTTTCCCATTCTACATTCCCAACTGGAGCTGGTGTAATTGCTCTTCCATCTGCTTTCGAGTCTGGCAGTAACGAGCGAAATCGCTGATTGGGGCATCTAGCGAATTGATCCTGCTCAGGCACCAGGAGACGTACTGACTGTCCATCTCGTACACTTGGGCATACTGTTTGCCCGGATGCTTCTTTCCCCAGGTCACGAGCTTTTGTCCCCATTGATCCATGGCTGTCGTCGTCCAAGCCAAGCTGTGTGTATTGCTTGGGCCTTGAGAGCTTTGTCCACGATCGCTGCCTGGACTGTTCACATGCGATGGGGTGCCAGGTGATGTGATCCCAACCAGACTTGCGACCATCTGACCCGACATTCCGGGGGCTGCGAAGCTTCCTTTGCCAGCTGCCACAGACTTCACTTTCTGTGGAGGGCTCATAGGTGCTGCGGTTCTTGCCGGAGGAATCGATGGTTTCCCACCTGTTCGAGCATGTTGGTACACTCGAACTTCTTGATCCCAAACTTCCAAATCGCTTTCCGTCAACACGACTAGGTCGTCCTCGGGACTTGTCCTCCTCGGAGACGGGCTGTGCTTCATCATGTGCGCCAGCTCCTCGATCTTCTCTTTCTGCGATTGGACTTCCGACAACAATTCGCTCATCATCGATGCCTGATTCTGTGGAACCTCTTGGTTCGATACCTGAGTGGCTACTTGGTTCAGCAGAATGGTCAACAACGTCTGAAGGCTTTGCATCACATTCTCTGCGATGCTCTTCACCATCTGCATCAGCTCGCCACGGGTGGGCATGTCGAGGTTCGATCAGCGAACGTGCAATCGACTCACTGCTTGCTCCAAAAATGCTCTGGACATTTGTTGGCATCTGGCACAAATCTGAGAGACGAATCATCAAAAGTCCTGTTCGACCTTCGTGCAACTTGATTGATCTATTTAGTGAGCTCAAAAAACACGAACCCTTCTGCAAATCCATGATGGTTCCTAACTGCTTCATGGCTTGGATTGACAGGAGGAATGGCGTACCTTTTGGAACCACCTCAACGACCAACCACATACGGACCTTTTGTTTGTCTATCGGTATGTGTATCTGTTTGTAACTGTGTTCTATCTGGTTGTTCCCGAATCGAAAAGTCACTCGGCTCGGCTTCTCTTTCACACGATCTCGGACGAAGGTCGGCAACTGTTCTAAGAGCATTTGGAGATGCTCATCTCCTACCACACTTCGGCTCGCTCCTGTGTCCAGGATAGCCATTCCATTCGTTTGGAATCCTGACAAGGATCCGGCTCTATTGGTGAGCCCAGCTGCGATTGAAGCTCTCGGTGGCTCCGGTGCTCGAATGCTTGGTCTCCTGGGTTCATGGCTCAGCACTCGATTCCTACTCATGAAAAATGACATGGTGCGCAACTTGGTGGCTTCGGTAAACAATGCAAACTCACATGAACTGCTCTCAAAACTTGCATCGATTTCGAACGAATAGCTTTCTTGGCTTGGTTCTATCCGTGTCGTTTCGTTTCTATTTTCTTTGGACCAAACCCCGACCTCCCCTTCTGACTCAATCTGTTCGAAAAGCACTCGGTCAGATTGGAATGCATCGGCCTCAACGAATGGCGTGGATGCCACATTGGCCTGCGACTCCTTGGAACGAAGTGGACACTCAGCCTTCCAGTGACCGATCTCGCCGCAACGTTTGCAATGTGTCCTTGCAATGCGGCTCAACAACTCTTCCTTTCCTTTGGATTGGCCCTTCTTGAAACCTTTGAACCCTGGAGGTCCATACCCTTTTCCAGACTTGCTACTTGATGAACCACCCTTCAAAGGCCAAAAGCCTCTATTGCGCTTACGCTCAACAATGCGGCCTCGAGCTTCCTGATAGCTCAACAATGCTGAATGCAAGTCCGGCACCTCTTGAAACAACTCTGTCAACTCTTTCTCAAAACTCTGAACCGTTAGCGCGTCAGCATCTCCAGTTGAAGCCAAATGCTCCAACATGTCCGGTGTGAGGTCCTCCTCATCAATACTGGCTGCATAGAGGTTCTGGTCCTGATAGGACAGATCTGTAGCCTCAGTGGTGCTTTCCGTGGACTCTTCCACGAAATTCGTGGGGTACACTTTCTTGCGATCTGTTCCACCACCTGTCAAAACATTGGTTGAAAGGCTGCGCATAGCATTCTCAATTGCAGTCTTCTCGAACTGTCCGTTCGTGATGGTCAGAACTTTCTTCTTGTCTTCTGGTCCTAAATTGCTCTGCTTCAGAAGGACAAAGGCCTTGATCGACTTCAATGTTGTATCTTGTCCAACCTCTTCAAAAGCAACATCCAACCTGTTTACGAATGACTGCGTGCTTTCGTCTGACTTCTGGGTCGTCTTGTAAATTGCGCGCTCGAACAACTCAAACGTCTTGAGCTCTGCACTCTCCTCCCAGGCTGACAATGCCTTGAGCAAATGCTTCACACCTTGGTCAGGATTCGTCAATGCGTCCGGCTCGATCGTCCTGACTTGATGCCATGCCGTCCCTTTGCACAACATAGCAAGGCGTGGCGCCAACATTCCCCGATCTTTCTTCGGGCAAATCCCATCAAGGAACTTGACTTTCGCAATGTACTCTTTGATGTCATCTTGACCTGGATCGAAGCTAGGCAACAAATTCCAAATGGTGGCAGCTTTATCTTCGGAACCCATGGCTTTACAACGTCCACGTTGAGCCTCCGGGCTCCGCTACCAATGTGACTGGGATTCTCCCAGATCACAAAGGTAGCTTCTCAGCCCTCTACCAACAAACCTACGGGGATCTACCTAGATCTTCTACCTATCCACGAGTGGTCCCCCACCCTTGTCGGCGGTCCCCCGCTCTTTTCTCCTGAGTCCTGTCCTGCTCCGAGTTGGCCTTGAGCCAAACCATCATTGTGGTTTGTGGTCATCATCTCATGGTTTCATTCGAAGGTGGCTTCACTGGCTTGTCGATTCGATCGATTCGCATGTATACTATATATATATTATATATTAATCGATAAACAGGAATAACATAATTAAGGAAGGAAAACATAAACAAATCAGAAAGGTTTCTTGGTTTTGCTACGTACCCTTTGGCAGCTACTTGGTGAGTTCTCCTCGCATGCGAGCCTTCACCCGTTCGTGTCACATGAGCAGTGGCTTTGGTTGCTGTTGCCATTTACACTATTTAGGTGGTCTAATCAAACATATGTCCTACTCGGCTTTGATCAACTTTGGTCCTCCACTTAGCCGAACATCTTGGAGTCACTTGGTCTGCCAAGAGTTGGGATTCTCAATCAACATGCAGCCCCAACAACCTTACACAACAGCTGGCCACCACTGGCCTCCTAAAAACTTGTTTTCTTCCAGCCAGCAACTGTAGAAAGAGGCTGGCAACCACAAATGACATGATCATAGTACATAAATTCATGAACATATACAACATTATACAAGTATATCATGCAGGACAATCATTTTGCAAGTAGGGTTGAACCAAAAAGGACACGGTCAGATTGAAGAACCACCCAGCATATCAAACAATTTGGGTTTCATCACAATTTTACAAAACATGATAATATAATGTGATTGAATTGCGATTACGATATATACAGTATACAAGTTACTGGCCCCCGGCCATCATTTCTGGCAGTCCCTACCAGATCCAACCTCTGCCATCTGTTCACTCGAGTCTTGTTCACTCGCGACTCGCGACTCATCGAAAGCGATTTCCATGCTGCAAACCCCGCGGCGCTGCGGGGCGCAAGTCGATCTGCTCGTAACTCACATCGGAGCACCTGGATTCCGCCAACACGCACCGCGAGGGTCGTCCGGTCCGGTGGCGTCCGTGGATGAAACGAACGAGACGGGCTTCTGGGCCGGGCTTCTCGGTCCTGACCGCTGTTGCTTGCTTTCTCTGTTCTTGGCTGTTAGTCCAAGTTTGGTCCACTCAGCTGATGCCTTCTATCAAAAGTTATTCTTATTCATATAGAATCAAACAATGGTCAACAATCCCTTAAGGGGTGGTCGGGTAGTCCATGGGGCTCCTAGAATTTGCTCATATGACTTGTCTAGGGGTTGCCAAAGACAAATTGCTACTAAATACTGATTTCCTTACGATCCATTGCGCTTCTTTCCTGTGCAGGTCTCATGAAGTTCATGGACATATCCCTTTGTGACCTTGTTTTTTTCGCAATTCTATACAAAAAGATCCATCGATGTTCATGTCCTCTGGTCATCCTTTCCAAAATCAATTCAACAAAAGGATCTCCTTTTCAGACCACGAAGGGAAGGACCATGAAGAAATTCAACAGACTAAGCTGAACCTTCTCAACATTTGAACAGAGGAACGAATTGAGGATGTTGAACGTTGACGCCTCCGTTCGCAGATGCAATATTGGAATATATTAGATAATATTGGTAAAACATGTGGCAAGGATGAGAGCCAACATGGACGACTGTCTTCGTTCAGTCTATGCGTCCCTCCCACACCAAAGTAAGGGTGTCTCGCTCATGTCTGAGAAGCAGGCGCAGTGCATAGAACCTGCCCGCAACATGCCGGTTGGGGGTACAAATGCGGAGTTGTCCTTTGTTGTCCTTTGGGTGTCCCATGACAGCAAAACTGGAAATTGTCTGGATATGTTCAAGATTGTTCAAGGTAACAGCAGGGCCCTCATCGCATAGTAAATGCAGCAAACCACCTCGGCTTTGAAAAAACGAACAGTTCGAGCCTGGACCCGGACTCCCACAGTTCCAAATTTCACATCTGAAGCACTTTCAATAACCAACGACACCTTCCAGGGCCAATCAAAAGCAACTCCACGGTCGGCACATTCCAGGGTCAACACAACGCAAATGGGCAAACAACTGATCGAACAAAAAGGCTCGGCTAAGAATGTTTGTTAGTACCTCTTCCACATAGGCTTCTTCACACCATGGAATGGAATGAAGTACCCTTTGAAGCGGCGTTGTTGGCTCATCTTTTAAGAACAACGTGTTGCATTTCTGCGACCCAACACAGTCGAGGTCACATCTGCCAAAGAGTCATGACCCTACAACACCCCATTTGGTGGGGGCAGTTGCCCGTTTGCCGACGTAGGTTGTGTGTCTGTTGATCGGGAAAATCACCTTGCGATGTGGAAAATCACCTCGGCTAAGAATGCGGGTCTGTCCGAGCGGTTGATCCGGTGTGAAACCCCGCTACCCGTGGCGTTGGAAACCCGATGCGTGGGTCTCGCACCTTGCGATCAGCTTGCTGGTAGGTGCCAGTGAAGTCTCTAAATCTCACCTGCCCAGGCAGTTTTTCAGCATGTTTCAGAAAGAAAAAACACATGGAAGAAGACATGATTCTGCATGTCTTTGGTGATGATCCTTGCCCCACCCACCCAAACAAAAAGACTGTGAATCCTGATGTATGATTGTATGTGGATGTATTTTGTGCCGATAATGTTGTCAATCTTCTTCTGCTGCTGGTTTCTTGTCTTCCGCCTCCCAGCTCGTGTCTTTGTTCTGGATCAGAACATCTACCGTTTGGTGCCTGGACTCTGCATTCGCAGATGCAATCTGTTCTCTTCGGATGTTGGACTTGGATGTTGACGAAACAACAGCTGTCATCTGCACAATCCTACCGGCAATTGATCAAGCAGCACCCCTCGCCGAGGGGTCTTTGTTGGGCCTCAAGAGAACTGTTATGGATGGTGAACAGGCACCCCAACAACCACCAAGTAACACCGTGGGACAAAATACAAAATGCAATCAAAGATCGGCCTAGTCCTGGATTGTCTTGCATTCCCGAAGAGTATTGACATACACCCTGTTCAGCCCTGCTAGTTTCCTCATCTACAAACAGTTCTTTTGGAGGGTCACGTGCGGAATGGACAAGCAACGTACATGGGCTGTCATTCTCTGCTACGCCTAAGCCGTCGGGGCCTAAGCCGTCTATCAAGGGGTTGAAAAGGGTCCACGCAAAACGAAAATCCAACGGAGGATCTGGGCATGCGCCGCTGGATGCGACTGGCCCAGGGGCCGGTGAGGGACCAGGTCTCTACGAGTCGGACACACCGACCTCAGGTGGTTGTTCGGGGCCGAGCCGAAGTGATCCATCAAGATACACCAAAAGGACAGGTGGTTGAAAGTGTTTGACTCCAATCTAAAGCTCTAAGACCATCTAAGGTTCTCGCTTGTATAGCAACAAGCGAGCTCCCTCCTGCCCATCTGTTCAACCCACAATTCCAGTCGATCATGGGGTCCAGCCTTCCTGGAACGAGCTTGGCTAGCAGTCCTTATACAGTCTGAACTGCAACCACCCATGACCAAGCGCCAGGGTGCTATGCCAAGGCGGTATACAAAACCGGATGGATTTCAAATGTTTCAACAGCGCGGATGGGCTGCCCACATCGTCAAACAATGACCAGGTGGGTGGCCTCTTCCGGATGTGGGCCAAGAGCTCATCGTAGGAAGATTGAGTTGGTGATTAGGGGACCTCGCTGGCCCAATGGATTGAGTAATATTGAGCCCTAGAGATCCAATCACCTTAGAAGGTACAAGTACTTGGATCCTCCAAACCTACGTAACAGTGTCTCCAATCACCGTACCTGAGAAGGTACGACTGGATCCCTAGGGAGTATGTGTTTCTTCTCTTTCAGGTCGAATGGAGGGGTCTCCCGGTCTTCCATGGTACACACCCGGCCGGCTCTCCATCCGTTGCTCACCTGCTGGATGCGGATGGCTGCGGCTGGATCCTCCATGGCACAGCCTTCGGGCCTCAGCTGGCGAGCAGGCGCGCAGGCGACATACGCGGATGTGCCGATCATGGGTGGAAATGGATGCGGATGGTTCTGATGCATTAAACTGTATCTTGGAAAATGGAACACTGTCTTTCTTTCCGAGCTTTCAGAGGTCTGAAAGACCGCAAGCGTAAAATTGAACACACTAAAAACAAAAGAAGCTGGGCGCTTGCGCCTGAACAGTCCCTTGCTCGACATGATTGACTCCTGTGGCTGGGATTGAATTAATAGGGTTTATCTGCAGTTCTACCCATCCTAAAACCACCACCCCACCTCCCCCGCCTTTGCGATGGAGGACAGTAGGTCTGATCGATGAGGATCCCTGGGACGGATCGCGTTATATATCGATGGTGAGAGCGGAAGGATTTGGCTGGGAGTCTGGACTCCTGGACCCCTGAATTTTCACCAAGAACTTTGATCAAAAGATATCCTCCCAGGAACCCAAATGTGTTTTGGTGGTAGTTTATTATGGGAGGTTTAGCATGGTTTAGCTGGGGGGGGAATCCCTTTACTAATCAATATCCAACATTACGGTCCAAGTCTGGATCTCATGATGATGTCCCGTTTGTTCTCCATTTCAGAATGGCATCCAGGTTCCTGAAGAATAGCCTGCATCATTGGATAATCCTGGATCAGTTGGATCCTGAATCAGTTTCGGCCTTTCTTGGGTGAAAACAAGGACCCAAGAAAGGCCGAAACATCCAAGGACCCACCATCCAAAATGGGCAGACCATGAGCCTTGCCCTCAGCTCACCAAAAGCATCAACGTGATCAAGATGAAAACAGGAGTGATGGAGTGATGGACCGTAGATTTGACTCCTAGGAGAAACAAATTACTAATTGTTATATATATAAATAAGCTAGGCTCCTATAGTTAGACCCCCAAACCCATCCCAGCGAAATGGAGGTTTTTTCAAAAACGCCGAAAAGAACCCCTTGTGCGACCACCGTTTGCGTATTCAGCTGTTCTATCACGGCCATACCCGAGACGCTCCATGTATATATGCCATAGGACTGCCGCCTACATTGACCCCCCCTGTCACCACCCCTGGCCGTTGCTCGGCAGTCCGGACTGGCGGACGAGCGTCGACCGGGGGTCCACCCCACCATCCGACCCATCGACGCACGGGGGAACGAACTGAGGGACTGAACGGTGCCTGGCTGGAGCCAGTGGTGTGTTGGAACATGTCTCAGTATGACGAAGGTCCGAAGGACCAAAAAGCCACCTTGCAAAGGGACTTCAACAAACTTACAGTACCTGAAACCTGACGAAGCTGGATGATAGAACTTACAAGGGCCCAGTTCCCAAAACCTGTCCAACCACTGCGAACATACCATGCTCCATGTAGTCCATGCAGCCGATCACCATAAGATGTGATGCCTATCATCACATCTGCAGTCTTGAAGTGTTGAAAGCTTGCCTTGGCGAAAGCAACAAGCAAACGTTGCTTTGGGCCGTGCCTGGCACACCTCTTTTGGTTGGGCACCCAGTAAGACCACTTTTGGATGAGGCATTTCATGTGGAAATTTTGAGGAAAAACATCCTCAATCTTGGGACGACAGCATTGTTCTAAAAATATCACCTGGGTAGGTCGAGTTTCAAGATAACAATCTGACAGAACTGTCTGACTGCTTTGCTGTGACCCGGTGCTATTTTCCAACATGATGTTCAGTGGAGACTGGTGGGAAAACCCACACAGGAAAAGCACCTGCACGAAATCGTGTCCAGCACCTTGGGTCTCCATTTCAAGGGTGTCCAAGTCCAAGAAGCACTTCTGTCCATCGCTAGGCTCCCTCCTTCCCTGCAACTGTGGTGCCCACTCCAGTGTTTCGGTCCCAACAGTTCGTGGGGCTCGGGTCCTGAGCCTCCGGACATTCTGAACCAAGCCCCGAGCACCCTGACGCACAAGATCACATGGCTATACAAAGCTATCAGATGGGGTTACAAGTTTTCCAATGCTGCTGCGGGCTGGTCTCTAACTATATACCCTCTGCCAGGCAGTCCTCATGACAAATCTGATCATTGTAGAGTGGTGAACCTCTAGGACCAGGAGTCCTGTGAGAACTCGTCCAAACAGAACGATCCAACACGGACAGTCCAGACCACCGTGAGCGCCGCGCGACCCATGGACGGAACCACCGGGGGCGCTTTACCACCGCTACCACCCAGGTCCAGGAGCGCCTTCCAAGTCTTGATGCGAACTCCATGCACCTTGGCTTCGAAAGAACGCTGTCTCACTGCGGGAGGGCTGCGTTGGAAGAGATCAGTCGTGAGTCAAACTGCATGTCGTGGACGAAAACTCTGGGACCGTTGAACGCATCAAATCTTGCAGTCAACGTCAGGCACATGCCACATGCAGCATTTTGAACGACACGCGGAGGCGTTTCCGATGAACTCTTTCTCAGCACCCTGTAATCCAGTGTCAAAAACCTGCATGCAAATCACGACACCCGATTTTGCCAACGTGGAGCTTGTCTTAATTCAATTGATCTCGAGCTCATTTCGAATCACAATCACAATCCATCTCATTTAGAATTTCACCTAAAACATCAAACCTTGACTTGCTTTAAGACCGACGGTTCCGCGGGTCAAAACCAGGAGACCGAGCGGTTCACCGGAGCCGACGTATGGCGAAAAAAACGTTCGGAAATGGCAGGAGTCAAATTCAAACAAATCCATGTAGAAACATAGTGTCTCAACCTCAAACCAATTGGTGAAACGTAAGATCATCAAAAAAGGGGAAACCTTGTTTACCGTTTACCTGTAATCACAGTATATACTATAGCTGTTGTTCTTCGTCTCTGGAACTTAAGCAAGTACAGCTATACGGCATATACGGCTCTACATGGGTCTATGGCAGTTCCCAAGACACCTCCCTCAAACCTCCCTCAAACCCGAGATCTGGGCCTTCTCTAGACACTTGAGACATGCGCACGTGAGCCAAGTCGGTCTACCGACACTCGGCCTCGGCCCCGACCTCGTCGGGACCCCGAACCACGGCTCCGACCGCCGCCGGTTCCCACCGCAAAACGAAATGCGGCACGACGCGTCGGACGCGGGTCATGGGACACTCCGGTCAGCCGAGACGTTGTGGAACGCCACGTTGGTGACCTCCTGGCCCTCACGGGATCGGACGCGGCCGTGGAGAGCTTGTTGTCCGTGGGGGGTTTGGTGTGTGGAGTTCTGGGAGATTGGTTTGTGGTCGCTGTGTGTGTTCTGAACAATATGTGCTCTCATATGTGAGCTTTCATGGGTGTGCTCTCAAATAGGTGCTCTCGTGCGTATGCTCTCATGTGTGCGCTTTCGCATGTGTGCTCTCATACATGCGCTCTCACTTGTGTGCTCTCATATGCACGCTCTATTGTGGTGCTCTCATATGTGTGCTTTCGTGCAGGTGCTAACATACATGTGCTCTCACATGTATGCTGTCAAATGCGTGCTCTCACATGTGCTGCCAGAAGTGTGCCCACAAAATGTATGTCTTTACATGATCTTACATGTGTCCTCAAGAGCTCTAGGCCTCTAGACCTCCAGATCTCTTAATTTTCTGGATCTAAACGTTCTGGACCTCCTCTCAGCCATTCAGATCTTTCTATATAACCTCTAGACCTCTTCTAGATCTGTCTGGATCTCAAGACCTCACTTAGAACGCTAGATCTCTACACCTCTGGGCTTTAGGCCTTTCTAGACCTCTAGAATTTCTCTGGATCACATGACCTCTAGCTTTGAACCTCTTTGGATCTCAAGGCTTTGTCTTGGCGAGGACAACGGCGCCATAGCAACTGCCCAGGTGAGGGAGCATCATGTATCCCATATATATCATCAAAATGCAAAAAGGAAGCTCCATCAAATTGGAAAATATCATCCTGACCGGACAAAATGACTCCGCGACAAGCAGAGTCAGGCAAACGCGTGGATGACAATGACGAAGAGGCGGTGTACAAGTCTCACAGGCGGTGTACCTGTTTGGATCTCAAGATCTTCAAATATGTTGATTTTTGTTGGATCTCAAGGCCAAACCTCTAGATCTTTCGGGATCTAGACTCTAGACCTCTGAATCTAAAGGCCTCTACATCTCTAAATCTCTCGGGAACCACATGCCTTCTGTTTCTACACCTCAAAACACTGTTTGGGGTCTCTTGGGATAATTTGCATCGTGTTGCCATTATATGGGTGTTTGCTCCTCATATAGGATGTTGCTGTGTGTTCTATTTCCTGTGCCTGATTGGTGGTCGTCGATTGTTCGCGGGCCATCCATATGTGAAAACATTATCCACAAGGCTTTACATGAAGGGTGAATGCGATGGAATCTTCCATGAAACGATAAACATATCATGGTGAACAAATCGGTAGTCATTGGGTTCCAACTGGTTCAAACACACATCCGTTTCATCTTTGATGCAGGCCTAATTGAAATATAAATGACTCAATACATTGTTTTGACACAAATAAGCCGTGCCGATATTTTAAACACATGTCGTCGACCGCTATACAAAACACGGGTCATCGATGATACCTCTGCCAACACATGGTGACCCATGATCTGCCCGTCACAAGTTGGTCACCCACTGCCTGTCATTTAACGCCTCGAAACCTCCTTCAGAAACAATTAAAATTGTCTGTCCCGTTTGGAAAGCAAAGTGCCACATTGTATCCGAAATTGTTTTAACATATATGTATTTAAGCGGTTCAGTTGGACAAATTTAGTGCACTTAAAAAAAGAGTAAATGATCGTTAATGGCCTTATCAGTATGTTTGTTTTCAAAGTGGCAGGCCAACAAACCTCGTCCATTGCACCTCAGACTCGCGCTCGCCCAGGCTGCCAATCGACACGCCTGCCCGACTTTTAGATGACCCTTGGTTCGAGGAATTGGTCTAAAAACTAGTGAGATCGAGCGCTTGCTCACAAAAGCACCAAGTGTGGAAGATCCAACGCTGCTGGTTCATTGCATTGATTCTCAAAATCCACCAGCAGCGCCGCAGCGCCAGCTAAGGTGGCACGCCAGTTGAGCATGTTTAAAGGTGCACCGGGCCTTTGCCCCGACGGAGCTGCAAGCCCTCACCGTAGATGTCGGAGGAGCCCTGAGCCAAAGAAGAACGCCAACCCTATGGCTGTCGATTTTGAACAAGTTTTAGACAGTGCATGGTGGGATGCTTGCTTTGCCACGACACTAGAGACCAACACGCCGAGCCGGGACTGGGCCACGACACTAGAGACCAACTCGCAAGGACTCGTTTGGAAGCAAGAAGGCTACGTTCGGGGCTCCTGGCATCGCTACGAACGGAGCAAGAACGTTAATCAATTTCCAGAACACCATGGCCAAGGAGCACGCATAGCTTGCAGAGTCCATCTAAGGCCACAATTGAACAGAAAGTAATCAAACAGCTGGCTCTACAAACTTTGTGTATTGATTGCTTCAAGGCTGCGTCACCGTCCTAAGCATGTCCCACATGTGCCACGATGTTCCACTGCCTACCGTGAGTTCTACATGAACTGACCAAAGGGGGACCACTGGTGGTCTTGGGATGGTGGGCGGGCAAAACCAGCTGCCAGGAGACATGGCCTGGAGACAGGCCCTAACCTGCCCTCCACCGTCTCACACGGGCCTGTCGGTCTCGTCTTGGTCGCTCCCCAGAGGAGTAGTTTAGGCTTCAATTCATTGGCATATGCGGCATATCACGGCATGTCCCATTCACCCAAAGAGGAAGGTTTATGCCATAAAACAACATCCAAACCCCTTCCCAGTATGTCTGGGATATTCTGGGATGGAATTGGAATCCTATGAGTGTCATCTGTGAACCATGTGCGGGGCCCCGGATTGCAAAATCGTCAGAGAAGTAAAACAAAGTAAGACAATGTAAGATCACTTTAAAACTTACAGTAAAACATTGTAGTTGTGGCACACAAATAGAGATACAAACAATCCATGTATGGAATAGTGGAGAGAGAAACAATGTCCAGCCACGTCTACAGTCAACGTTTTGATCGGTTGGCTGGCTGTTCTCTCCAGTGATGAACTACAGAATTTGGAGGGGGTTATCGGTTATCAATGACCCTGGCCTTGCGGCAAAACTTCGGGACATGTGAATCTGTAGATTCTTGAATCGTTCCAGCCTGAGTTTGAGTCGACCATGTTCCATTATTCTATGTTTGTTACTGTTCTATCGATCTATCTGTATCTATTCTATCCGTCGAAGGGCTTTTTCAACCTCCGCTTGACCATCGCCTTCGACAAGCCGTCATAAGGCTCCTACTGACTGGTGAAGATCTTAGGCCAAGTCATTGAAGTTCCAAACGTGCTGGCCTGATGGACATCAATTGCCCTAGATGTATGCGGTGGACGCTGGGACACTGTTTCGATTGACAAGGATTGACAAAGATTGAGAAAACATACACTGTGTCCCGTTTCCCACCACCTTAAGTTTAATTAGAGTCGATGAACCGTTTTCCCCACCAGGCAATCATGTTCAACACCCCCGACAATGGAAGGCGCATTCCTAGGAATTCTAGGGAGCCCCTGTGACAGGGAAAAACAAAGGTATGTAGGGCAAAGAAACAAATAGATAAAATGGCAAAAATAATGGTCTAAAGATGATTAAAGTCTAAAAGTCAAAGGACAACAATGAACAAAACAATGCCAGCCTCTTTCACCACCACATTGTCATCACCGCTCTCAATGACCTAACAGTGCCACTCTCGGTCGATTTTGGCTGAGAAGGATTCACAAAATTTGTGCAGCTAGCTGCTAGCTGTGAGGTCCGAGTTTTTTTCGCACTGAACAAGCGAATTTTTGACTGTGGAATCCGTGGTACAAACCTGCACATCCTATCACTGAGGTTTCCAATTCAAGGCTGATCCAAACCAACCATCATAAACCATCCATGGGACATGAAAAATAGATTCAATATGATTCAATACTGCAGATGTTTGGTTTGGATCATTTAGATCTTCGGATCCCATTCTTCAATTGTTCATTCTTCGGTTGATGTCTTCAGATTTTTTCCGAAACCTTGAGGTTCTAACAACAAAGAACCGGGCTCTTCTATGCTCTTCTCGGTCCCAAACGCTCTGGCGCAGCCAAACCTGTGATGAGTTGAGAATGTTGATGCCATCCTGCAGAGAAGGAAGGCTTCTTGGGTTTAACACTTGAGCTGACATGATCAACAAACCATATACTGTGATGATTCATCCTCCACAAAAACTGTTGGCCTTTCCAAGGGTCCAGGACTTCCTGGTCTTTTCGGAGGGTGGATTGAAGCCACCTGATTATTTGGGACACCCACCGACTTCCTGTTCACTCCTCGCCGATGGACGGCAGGCGAACCCCACGCCACCCACGGAAGGATTGAGAACGCTGTTGAAGCACGAACCCATGTGGGCGGCCAAAGCCATGTCATTGCTTCCAAGTGCTATGAACAAATCCCACAACAAGTGTTCATTCACTTTCCACTAATCCCAACAAGTCTGGTGTTGTGTCACGCTGTGCCAGTATGACACACACGTTTTGGAGACCCAAGCATTTGGATTGGGAAGGTGCCACGGGCGGCTGCATGATCTCGAGATGTGGTTATTAAAGAACAATGACAACAAAAGCCCAACAAGCCTGGCTATGGCTACTACTACTACTACTACTACTACTACTACTACTACTAGTACTAGTACTAGTACTAGTACTACTACTGCTCCTACTCCTACTGCTACTCCTACTACTACCTACTACCTACTACCTACTACCTACTAAGCTACCTACTACCCACTACCACTACGACTACTACTACTACTACCGTACTACTACTACCGTACTACTACTACTACCGTACTACTACTACTACC